TTTGATGTTGACAGACGTGTGACGGTTTGTGTCTGCGGTGCTTTTACAGAAGATTGAAGCTCGAGTTGCAGCAGATGAGGACCTGAAGCTGGCCGACCTGCTGAAATATTACCTGAGAGAGTCGCAGGCTGCGAAGGTCTGAGTGCTGGCCCACACTTTCAGCTTCATTCTGCTGTTTCTGTTTGAAAAGCTTCAGTAATCCCCTGAAACAGCTGCTCACTGTAGTTTGTATCTCCTGATATTGATGATGTCTCTGGCTCCAGGACCTGCTGTACCGGAGGAGCCGGTCTCTGGTGGACTACGAGAACGCTAACAAGGCTCTGGACAAAGCTCGAGCCAAAAACAGAGACGTCCTGCAGGCCGAGACCAGCCAGCAGCTCTGCTGCCACAAGTTCGAGAAGATCTCCGAGTCAGCCAAGCAAGGTACGCAACATCTGCTGTTTACCTGTAAAGATGTGAAGCACTGATCTGTGGTCAGCGACAGCCTCGTTAGCCTCGTTAGCCTCAGTGTGTGGACTGAGCTCAGATCAGCGTGCTGCGGTTGTTATAAAACCCTGCTGCTGTATCTAACGGTGGATTCTGTCTGAACGCAGAGCTCATAGACTTCAAGACGAGACGAGTGGCAGCTTTCAGGAAGAACCTGGTGGAGCTGGCAGAGCTGGAGCTCAAACACGCCAAGGTAAGCTGATCCTGTTCCAGGAAGTCCGCAAAGCTGTGATATAGACTCAGATTAGTTAGTGTACCTGCTCCCTGAAAGCTGTAACATTATCCTCTGTGATGGGAAGCCTCTGAAGGCCTCATGTATCAGGTTATCAATAACCATTAATCAATGAGTGATCACTGTCTTCGTCAGAGAGGATATAGCAGCTAGCTCTTTATATCGTCCACATTTTCACCCTTTTCTTACTTTGAGTCTCGTCTGTATTCCAGTTTTAGTTGAATTGATGGTGAAATTAGTCCTGAGGAACTTCTTTAGTATCAGAGTATCCCTGGAATACTCAACGATTACTGTAATAGATTACTTTCTATAGAGGAGGAGCTGTTTTGGTCCACTGAGGACGGACTGCCTGCTGGAGGGAAGTCCCTGTGGACACAAACCACATAATAAACAATGTTCCCATTAAAAAGATGAAACTGTGTCTTTAAAAGTCACCTGTGTGTGTGGCCCCGCCCCTCTCACCTGCAGGGGAGCCTCCAGCTGCTGCAGAGCTGTCTGGGCGTCCTGAAAGGAAACACTTAACTGTGCGACGCCGCCTGCAACCGATGGGACACGCCCCTTTGTCACAGCCCCGCCCACATTCAGATGGACACGGCCATCACCGGGGGGGGCGGGGCCCCGACGGACGGACGGACGGACACTAAGAACTGTGGACCAGAGAGAGAACAGAGGGTTAATTAAAAATACAGGAAATCTTCATCACTAACAAAACACCGTCCTCTTCTTCCTCCTCCTCCCTTTCTCCCTAACCCCCTCCCCCCTCCTCCTCCTCCTCCCTCCCCCTCTGCAGCAGCACCCGTCTGTCCGTCTGAGTGACTTTCAGTCTTTTCATAGACGAGAGCGGCTCATTAGGTCAGGCCCCGCCCACTTTAGGGTGAAACCTCTAATCTGATTGGCTGTAAATTTATAAAATAATAACACTGTAATGATTTTGTCTATCAGGATCATAAATCCTCTGCAGTCACAAGCAATGCTGCTGTGTTGTTGTGGTTGTAAATAAAA